GACCGCCCCTTGCCTTCTTCTACCTATTAGTCGGGTTCGAAATACCGGGCTACAACTACTGGCGACGCAGAACTAACTGGGCTATAACAGTACCAAACCCTCCTTCCGAAAGAACACAATGCGAGTCCCTTCGTTTTGATGTTCCTGTTTTGGATGGTGAAGCCTGTTTACTGCAAAGTTTCCTCGCAGGGGCTACCTCCTCGTATCTTAACCTGGTCTCACTGGCAAAGTAACCACCATTTTCTCTCGCCTGAAGTATCGAAACTATCAGGAGAGAATGTATTATTACTGACGCAATTGCATCATAAGTGCTTTCTGGTAAATAAATCAAGCTTCGTAACGTTAAACTTCACAAGTAATTTAGTGCGATGTTTGACGCAAAGGGCGAAAAGAATCTGCTCGACTGATGGCATTGAAGAGAACCTAAAGATTGTTGATTTAGTGTTTCGACAAAATGGGTATTTCAGTCGATTTATCGATAGAACATGGCTGAAAGGCCGCCCAAACCCTCAGTGTTAACAGCAGAGAAGAAGCGAATAATAATCAGGGTTCCATTTTAAGGGGACGGAACAAGCGAACTTCATAGGAGGCACCTAAATCAAGCTGTAGCAAACACCTTCCCAGCAGCCAACGCCCATGTACTGTTCTCGACTACTCCCGCCCTATACGGAGAGATCAAGGATAAATTGCCAGCCCAGATCACCTCTATGTGCATATATTCATTTACCTACTCCTGTGGGGCAAGATATATTGGTCGCATGAGCCGGCGTTTGACCAAAAGAGTACGACAACACATTCGAACATGGTTAGGAAAGGGCCAAGTAAAGGGTATAAAAAGTTCCATTCTAACGCACCTGGTATACTCAGACCATCGCGTGGATACCAGAGATGCCTTTCATGTGATTGACAAGATGCCCTCAAGCTTTTCATAATTCCGGGGGCAGTTTCTGTTGGCTGCGGCAGAAGCGGCCATCATCAGGCTACGCCGACCGGTCCTTTGCACCCAAAAGAACTTCGTCGCGGAGCCGCAAAAGCCGGTAATCCAACAGCCAGAAGCTTATCACATCGGCCGACTACTAGTCCGCCCTAATGCTGATCAGATTTTGACCCCCATTCCCCTCCCCTGATAATCACAATAATTTGTCTACCAACCCACATAGTTTATTTACTTAATAAGCAAATAACTAATCTCAACCAAAGAATAAACTACAACGAAATAAGTAGTTAGTTATGCATATTAAGTTACCGCGTGGCTTATAAGGAACCCTTATCAATTTAACTTCGGGGTAATTTATCAGAAGAAATGGAATGGCAGAGTGCTTTAAACTAAAAAAATATACTTATTTTTCTTCGAACTTAACCACTGTAAGTTCGACACAGTAGCATTTTAATCACCCTGTCTTTTTTATTCCGCCCAGTCCTTTCGGCAGGAACTGCCTGAATTGGGTGGGAAATAACTGTTAGCTAGGGCAGAGTTGATATGCACGTCGAACATACCGCGGGTTATGCGGCGCAGACGAACAATTTCAGCGCCCGCATCATTCGCTGCTTGTTGACCAATCAAATCCCTCAAGATTTCGTCTAAGCATCGATCGATTGACACCACGTGTCAGCAGCGATGGCAACGGACGGTGGCTTTGCTGCCTGAACGACTCCGCGCTATGGAGTTTTCTTTTGACACTGATCGTTTTTGTGTTGGT